CTACGCCCACCCTCAGGTACAGCCGCCCCCCGCCCGGCCCGGCCAGCACCGCGCAGCCCAGGCTTCGATCCTGGCCTGGGCCTGACCCCTTTCATCCAGCGACCCTGCCGTGGGTCGCACAGTGTGCGTGTCCCCTTCTACTTACCTCAGAAGCCCCAAGAGGCTCAGTGAGGGGTGTCGAAGCCTCCGCCGAGGGCCCCGTTCTTCCCTCACACGCACCCGCACCCCAAGGTCTCTGAGCAAGCGGGAGCGCAGACAGGGCTTGCCTGGGCCGTCCCGGCCTAACAATTATTCAGAAACTTTTTCCGCCCTCGAAAGTGTCCCGATTGGAAACAATGTCACGTGGCCCCACTATTCACAGGTCCCTTGTGATACACTGCGCCCCGTCACCGCAGTCCCACGTAGTCGTCACCACGGCTCTGGGAAGCAGGGCGGGTGGAGGGCAGTGCCCTCGCTCCGAAGCCGCAGACCCAGGCCGGCTCACGGCTGCCCTTGCTCAGCCAGGAAGTGGTGGCGGGGGCCTCACACCTCTGTCCCCGCCCACCCAGCTGCGTCCCGAGCACGTCACGGTGCGCGAGATGGACACTGTCCAGTGTGGTCCGAGCACTACCTGCTTGGGAACACCTCCGGGTTCGGTGCCGTTCCTTCCGGCTCGTTACTAGGTGACGTTTACGTGCTGAGGGTTAAACGTGGTGCCATTTGACCTGCGGGGTGGTCCCCTCGATCGATGCCTGAGGAACAGGCCCTCACTGGGGAGCTAACCCAGGCGTGGAGGAGGAGGTGAATGTCGGTGGCAGGACCTGCCTGCGAGACAGGTCTGCACGACGTCCTGTGCTGGTGCCCGGCCACCGGGGGCGCCGCCGTGAGGCAGGGCCACGGGGCGGGGGCGGCAGTGGGGTGTGGCTCCTGCTGCAGTGAGGAGGGGTCACCTGGGCCTGGGGCCGGCAGGCAGGGCATGGGACAGGGACAACCGAGACAGGTGCCGTGCCACGGACAGGGCTGGCGCTACCTGTGGGACTCAGTCCCGGGTCCTCAGTGAGGGCAAGCCTGCGCGTGCAGCTGGACGCGGCACTCGGCCCGTGGGGTCTGGGGACATGGGAGGACGGCGGGCAGGCGGGGACTGATCGTGGCGCCCGCCCCCGCCCCAAGCCAGCTCCAGGCCAGAAGCTGTGCACAAGGACAGCTGGTAACTCCCTGGCCTCGCCCATGATGACCACTTCGATGCTTTTGGGAAATGTCCTATTCCTTCAAAATTCCTATTTATTCCCAGTCGGGAGTCCCCGACGTGCTCGCTCTTGGGCGTGTGTTCAGCCCACTTGGTGGGACATCCCTGCGAGGTCTGAGCTCACAACCCACAGGGCTGGGGACACTGGGCTGCAGGGGGACCTGGAGGCACCGCGGCGGCCAGCAGCCCCATCGCCGCCCATCTGCCCAGTGGCGTCCAGCACTCCCTGCCCTCTGGCTCGAGAGTCGGCCTCGTCTCGATGACACATGATGTGGTCTGTTCAGGAGCCCAGCTCAGATTTCAGAGGGCGAACAGTGACCAAACCAGACACACCGGAGGCGCGTTCCCCTTGGTCAGCAGAGCCCTCCGCGCGGAAGCGCCGGGCGTCACGGGGCTGGGCCCGCCCTCTCCCTCCGGCCCCGGTACCTTCAGCGAGCCCCACGCTGACAGGGTCGGGGAGCGCCTGGGAGTGGCTGGCATTCTCAGGGCCCTTGCAGATGATGTTGGGGTTTCTCGGAATGGTGGGTGGCAATTGCTGGGGGCCTCTCCCCAAGAAGGTCTTTGCCCGGAGGGTTGGCAAGGAGCCCCGGGGGCAGGGTGGGAGTGGACATCGGGAAGCAGGGGCTGAGGTCATGCACCAGGCCCTCAGATGAACAGACAGGGGTCAAGCCGAGGGGGGCCGCTCCCCAGCGAGCCTGTCACCAGGGAGTCTGGGGGTGTCACATGGCCCCGGCACAGGCTGTGAGCAGCCTGGCTGGGAGGGGACAGTGGCCCCGCCCATCCCGCCAGCCTGGAATTACAGCCATTCCCAGGGTTTGCCACCAGGAAATGACAGCCTGCTCCCCCAACGCAGAGGGACCCAGAGCCCGGCACCGCGGCCCCCACAGCGTCTGAGTCAGGGGCGGGGGCCTCTTGTCAGCCTCTGAGGCAGCTCCTTCCAGGAACTGAGGGTCCCCAGGTCTGCTGGGCGCTGGCCAAGCCATGGCCCTGTGGACTGGATGTCAACGAGGCCTCGGGCAGCACATGAGCTAGTCCCGTGGTCACGGCTGTGGGCACTGAGGCTTCCGGCAGGGGACAGACAGCACCGGCTCTGGCGGCAGGCGGCCGGGACTGCTCACTAGCCATGGGACTCAGTGAGTGTCCCTCATGGCCACTTATCCGACTGGCCTCACCCAGATGGCTCCATGACCCTGAGCCTCCCCGTCTGCAGAGTGTGGGCAGCGTCCGCCCGCCCCACTGCCGTAGGGTTAAACGCCGTACAGAGGGACACGTGTGACCTTGATAGCTGCTTACTACAGTGTCACCGCCACCAGCCGGGTGTGCCCTGCACCTCTCATCAAGGTCACCTCGCCAGCCAGAAGTGGAAAGCCAGAGAGGTGGGCATAGGTCTGGGCGGTCTCAGGCCCCGCCAGGGGACAGAGCAGAAGGGACTGCCGTCCGGGACTGGGTCCCCTCTGTGTGCGGGGGCTGCCTGCACCCTCTGGTCATGGGTGTGGCTGGCTGGCAGCGAGGACAGCTGTCTCGGGTCGTGGGGGCTGGCACCGGGGCCCGACTCGCCTCTTCCGGTGCAGAGCGAGGGCGTCGCCCCGCGAGCCGGCTCCCGGCACACTGACGTGCAGTGACCGGAGGCCCTGGGTGAGTGGGGACAGAAGTTTGACCCGGTGGCACTGCTGTCTGGGTGGGCCTCACTGAGGTCTGGAGTCGCAGGGCTGTAGGGCGTGCCCCCCTCCGCTGTGAGCAGGGGGCTCTCCCGGTCCTGGGGGCTGCTGAGTCCTCACGCATGCAGGGCCGGGACACACCCCTAGGGGCCCTGCCCGAGCCCCCTCGGGAGCTGGGCCCTGGGGTGGCCCTGACTTTGAGCACAGCCAGCTCATAGTCTGCGACCGCGGCCCTTCGCTTTGGAGGGCAGGTGACTGTGACCCTGGGGGGCATGACGAGATGGACAATGAGGACCTAGAGGCCTGGCCACACCGTGGACGCGAGCAGCTCCGTGGAGGGCGGGGCGGTCCTCTGTGACCAGCGGCGTCACGGCGGCATTCCCACGGTGCCATCGAGAGACCCGGGCCGTGGGGCGGGCTGCGCGGTGAAGCACCGTTTGATCGGAGCCAGCCGCAGGCGCAGACAGTTCCCTGGGATCCGTCACGATTCAGAACTTCCGTTAACTGATGTTAGGAGCGTCCACCCAGGGAGCAAAGGTGACGTGGGCTCTGCCGTCCTCGCTGGCCACGGGCCACAAAGACGACACCCTGAGGAGCACTGAGGGAGGCAGGCGGGGCGGCCCTGTGACACAGGTGGACTCGTACCGTCGGGACGATGAGGCGGACAGAGCTGTAGACCGTCGCGGGCTCGTCGTCCTTCCTCGTAGACTCCGGAGGAGGGGCCCAGGGCGGGCGGGGTTCGCTGCAAGGTGTCACTGGCGAGGCCTGTCCTTAGAATCCCCGCAGCGTCACAGGACGGCTGCTCAGTGCCAGCCATCCCAGAAATGAGGAAAAGAGCAAGATGTCTTCCAGCTGAGTCACCCCCCGCTTAAGAAACTTCTCCAAAAGCCCTTCCCACCTACTTCTACCCCGCTGGCCAGAACGTGGGGCCGAGACTGCCCCCACAAAACCGGGCTCCTGTCAGCAAGAACCAGGAGATGGGGCTTGGGCGTGGGTGAGAAGCTGGCCGCAGAGTGAGGACAGTTCCCAACGAGGCTGGGAGCGTTCCCACGGCCCTGGGAGACGGGGGGCCGTTTCAGTAAGCGGCCGTCTGGCGGGGACAGAGTGGCCATCCAGACAGAGAGAACAGTCTGGGCCAAGCCGCAGGTGCTCAGGACGGGCAGGACGCTGGGAGGGAGCAGTTGGCGTGTGCGGAGGAGGGGCTGGGGGCCGGCGGGGAGGATGTGGAGGCCCCGGGCGGGGATGCGGTGGGGGGTGTGAGGCCGTGTCCTCTGAGATCAGGTGTGAATGTGGAAGCTTCCGCCTCGGGGTCCTGTCCCCAGGCTCTGTCCCTGCTGACACTAGACCCACACCCAGCCTTGCCAGCCCAAGCTGACCGGGGCCCTGCACCCCTGGGAGGCGCAGTGTGGGGGTACAGACAGGTTCTAGGTCCACACCCACCCAGAGCCTCCACCACTGACCTGCCGTAGGGCCTCGGGCACCCATGGGCCCCCTCAGTGCCCCGGCCCCCGTCTGTAAGTGGGGTGCGTCCTCAGAGGGCGGAGGAGAAGTCTGAACACTAACGTGCCTGTAGCCGTCCTGGGTCCCAGGAGGCGCCGCCCGACCCGCCCTCCTCTGGCCCGTGACCTGACCTCCCCGTGTCCCCCCCGAGGAGCAGTACGAGGAGCGGTTTCTGCGGGAGGAAACCGTGTCCCAGCAGGTCAACGCCATCGAGCTGCTGCAGACGCGGCCCCTCGCGCCGCCCGAGGCGCGGCGGCCACAGCGGCCCCTGCAGAGGCGGGTCCTCCTGCGGGGC